ATGTAACACAGTGGTATCACTATGCATCTTATATATGATTAGGTATCACAATGTATCTTTTGTTTAACCGAGTCAATATTTTTAGGTATCATAATGGTATCACTAGAGGACGATGGCCGGAGAGAGAAGAGAGGAGAAATGAGAGTTTTAAAATACCAAAAATATTCTTGCATTAAGATTTTAATTTAAAATTACCAAATTTATAATTTTTTTAATTTATCTATTGATTTGTGGTTAATATTGGTTATCACAGTTACCACAAACAACTCAGTTCTCCCTTGAATAGGCCCATATATATATATATATATATATATACACACTACGTCATTAGTTTTTGAAGAGGAAATGTTTATGCGTAACTGATAGATATGGTTTAACTAAAATCCTTATTAATTAATGACAACATGTATTGATAGTCGTACTTTCAAACATATCTAGATTCGTTTGGTCAAGGTTCTCCATTTTTGAGTTTCTTCCTTCTAGAAAGTTCAATATCCTCGTACCACTACAGACCTAAGGACTATCAGCAATGCAAAAAACCGTCGCTAATGGTCGGATCTCTCCTTGATAGTCTATGGGTTAAAAGGTCGTGCGTGATGTTATCAGCGACAGATCAGTAAGAGCGACGGATCGACGAGGGAAACCTGTCAGCGATAAAAAATATGATGTTAATTGAGGAATGGTTTAATATCAATCTAGTGCATTTCCACCATATTCTCTGAAATGGGGAAAATAGAGATTTTATACCTATTTTGTGCTCCAATAGATACGCTAAAACTATATCCAAAATGGAGAAAGTAGGAAATAGAAGGTTTTTTTCTCTCCAAATATGAAGAACACCCCGAAAATGATTACCATGTGAGAGAAAGATTTTATTTTAAAAGCGTCCTAAAAATTTGTTAAAACATCCCAAATAAACCTATTATAACACTTTAGATGGAACACTTTTTCATTTGCTCCTATAAACTTAAGTCTAATAAAACACTTTTTTTAGGACGTTTCTACCTTTTAGACGTTCTATAAAATCAATTTTCTTTATAGTGACACGTTCGAACGCGTCTTAACAGTGTCAGATCAACATATAAATGTGTGAGAGTAAATACATAACTATTTTTATGAAAGATGACATCATGAACTTGTTAAACTTATTTGTTGACTAGTGATATGTATTTCAAAAGAATATACACGACGGTTAGCAATAAAAGAAATAAGAAAACTCGTTTGACATTTTTTTTTTATTAACCTGGATATGCAACCCGCTATGTGAGCCGACTAATCTCAAGGCGACTACCCACTTCGCGGGTAGCTCGGAGTCACCGCATTTGAACCTCTGTGGCCACAAGGGGATTTTTATTTCTCCTTGGATTCAAACCTGTGACCTCCAGACACTTTTGACCTTTGAAGCCCAAACTCAAGCCAACGGGCACCACCCTTGTGGTTTGTCGCTTGACATTAGCGATTGGCACATAGGGGAATGGTTGCCCAATCTTAAGCCCGGTACCCTGCACGTCGTGTTCATGATGTCTACATTCGACTGTGCCCCCAAAACATGAGCGATTGAGTGGCTGCTAGGGTGAAGAACGACAGCAACGACATGGGAGATGGAACGACGAGGAGTGTCGATTTGTAATTCATGAAGAGAAATGATGCTACAGTGTCGATTTGTAATTCATGAAGAGAAATGATGCTACATGTTATTCATCAGCATTATAAGGGTTCGGGTTCCGAAAGTGAGAGTTTTTATATATCTATCTCGGCTCCAAAAGTGTAATAGTCACGTTATTTTTCGAGTTTTGTGTTTGAATGCTAGATAAACTCCGAGACCCAAATCTATCTTCTTCTGTTTGACAATAAAAACCAGGTTGTCGGGGTTCTGGTAACCGACCCTCACTACTCAACATCATAACCACCATAGACATGCTTGGTCTATCGTTTCGACTGTGTTGAACACAAAGCAAAGCCACGTGGATCGATCGTGACACTTCAAATATACGGCTTGACTCGATCAAAGACAGGTCAACAAGTTCCAAAGCTTTTCCTTCTTTATGGAGTCTCCATGCCTAAAGATCGATGAGTTAAGATCCGTCGTTAATAATTCAACGAAATTGACGTTCAAAAACGAAATATTCTTACATGTCCAAGAAGGTTGTCATCGCGAGCTTGATGAAAGAATCGTCTGTTTTTCTTCCCACTTACAATCTCCAATACTAAAACACCGAAGCTGAATACGTCTGATTTTGTTGAGATAATCCCACCTCCGGCATATTCTGGTGACATATATCCACTGCATCAAAATATTAGGTCGTGTAGGAGAGTTGGAAAATAATGGATTGAAGTTTATGAAATCTTACTACGTTCCGACCACTCTTTTAGTGTTTGTTTCGGTCTCATTTCCTCTGAAGCTTCTTGCAAGGCCAAAATCTGATATCTTCGGGTTCATGTCGTGATCAAGTAAAATGTTGGCGACTTTGAGATCTCTATGGATGATTTGTAGTCGAGAATCTTGATGAAGGTAAAGTAGGCCTCGGGCAATCCCATTGATAATATGAAATCGTTGTGACCAATCGAGTGTTTTGCTTACGCTTTCATCTGAAAAAAAAAGACTTGGCTCGTTAATTAGTTGGTTGTGTCGAATTCTTGATCGGGATTTATCATTATATTCGCTTACGAAATAGAAATAAGTCGAGTCCTTTGTTAGGCATGTACTCATAAACCAACAATTTTTCTTCCCGTTCGATGCAATACCCAAGAATCTTGACAAGATTTCGATGTTGAAGGTTGGAAACGAAGATAACTTCGTTCTTGAACTCTTCAACTCCTTGTGTGGAATCCTCGGAGAGCCGCTTCACTGCAATCTCTCGTCCATCGTCAAGAAGTCCCTTCAAATTAATAAGAAACATGTTCAGCTACTTACGCATATTGTAATCTCTCGTCCATGATAAAAAAGTTTCGTGATTTAGTTGTACCTTGTAGACAGGTCCAAAACCACCTTGCCCGAGCTTGTTATTGTCTGAGAAGTTGTCGGTTGCAGCGAGCAGTGTGGACAAACTGAATAACTGTAGGTCTAGAATGTCATCTTGTTGACCGATCCTCCCTGTGCAATCCCGAGAACTCATTAAAAACATAATTGACTTTGTAGGACGCCTAAAATGTAGAAACGTTCTAAAAACACACTTTATAGTTATTAATTATTACAAGGCCCAACCAAAGAAAACGTCCTACGTAAAAGTGTGACAATAGGTTTATAAGACGTTTTTAGGCATTTTAACAAGTTTTTTAAGACGCTTTTAAATAAAGTGTCGTATTAACTAATCTTATACGACACTACTTGAAAAGTGTCCAACAAACACAAATGTCATTTAAAAAGATGAGTTTATAGGACACTTATTTTAAAACCATCTTAAAAAACTTATTAAAACGCCCAAAAACGTCTTATAAATCTATTGTAACGCTTTTAGAGACGACGATTTATACTTTGTTCCTATAAACCTAAGTTTTATGAAGTATTCTTTTAGGACGCTTAGCCAATCTAGGCGTCCTATAAAGTCGATTTTGTTGTAGTGAGTACATATACTACTGG